GTAACTATCAGTAAGTATGAGATCTGAGCAACTACACCTACTAGCACTGCACAGTGAAATTAAGAGAAATTTTAAAGAAGAGAAGAGAAGAGAAAAAAGGGAAGAAAGATGTTCCTACTTTAGATACCTCATACAATCATGGTAAAGCAGTCTGAGTTAAAATGGTGGAAAAAAAACCATGAACAGGAGTTAAAATGGTATAAAATTAAAACATGGCTTACATTTACTGTGTATGCAGTCTAAACGAACAAAATATATGTTTTTATAGGATTTATCTGAAAGTACTTAAATTGTACTTAAAGCACTTAAAATGTTTAACATTGATGAGAGAATATTCAAAAGGATAAAATACAGGCAGTTGTAAAGGTGTGAAGAACACAAAACATGAGTAAGGTATATTTGGAAATACATTAAGCATTGAGGATACTTCAGTTAGCACAGGGACATAGAAATATTGACAGGAAGTAGTTCAGCACAGGAAATCAATACGTAACCTCTACTTTTGGAGGAATTAGTATCTGAAGGCAGTATCTGAACATCTTTATGTCCTCTCTGAGTAGTACATTAATAATTCCATTTTGTGCAAAAATTTTACCAGTACCAAACTTCTCAATGTAAAAATGGCCATATACATTCCACCCCTCACTGTGATGTGATTAGTGAATTCTCATCTAATGATTTTTTATCCCCTTCCACACAGAAGAAACTTTCTCTAAACATCTGCAAAGCAAATGCCTTGTGAAAACTCTCTTAAAAATTCCACCCTCTCATCGACAACAGTTTGGCTTCATGCTGAAGCCATGTCTAGAAGACTGACTAATATAGCCATATTGTTTCCATGTCCTCCCCATATGTGTGTCTCCAGCCATCTGTTGTCTCTTGGCTTACAGTGTGAAGTCCTTTAGAGAAGCAGGATTTGTCTTTTTTGTTTGTACAGCACCAAGCAGAGCAAGTCCTTGATCCTAATGAGGGGCCGTGAGTTAAATAACAGATAAATTAGTAAATAAAATAAATTAAAATTTTGGGTAAAGTTCCGCTGTATATAATTGATTGGTGAGAAACAGTGGTTTCTGGTTTAAATGTCAGCATATGCTGTAGACTATTCTGTGGCTGGCGTAGAACATAAAAAAATTATGGGGGTGTCAACCAACATTCAGCTGTCAGAGATTTAAGATTATAAGGTTAAATCTTATATTTAATTCTTCGATTAGAAAATTAAATAAATTCCCACAAAATGGCAACAGTAACCACTGCTTTTTTATCAAGGGAATTTTGCGTTAAAATTTGCATTAAAATTGCATAAAAAAGGCAATTTATGCCATGCATCTGAATCTTCTTTGACATGTATAATGCTACCAACATTCAAAAGGTATACTTTGTGTATAATTTATGAATAAGGACTTAAGTACTGATAAGGCTCTTAGCAAGTCCTTGACTTCCGGATTTCCATGTATATGTCATTTTTCCCATTATTTTCCTCTAAATGTTTTGATACCTCATCAAAATTATTTTCTAATTTGCCCTGCCAATTTGCCAAGAGCTCAGGGAATGTTTCCTTAGTGCTCTTACTATGAACACTGTATAAAGTGAAAAATGTGACTGGGCAAATTAATATTAAAAAAACCCAAACCTCTAGTTCAAGACATCCCTGATCCGTATAGTCTGGGAGAGTATTCTGGGTGGTACTGTTACATGTTTATATCATGACATTCTTTTTTTCACTACACTTCATCCAATCCATCACTGACCAGCCTCAGACAAGGAATACTGGGCTGTTCCTCCAGCACAGTTCTGTCATTTTTTCTGTTATGTTTTAAATTGCATCGTGATTGCTCAAACACCTTAAATACCTTTAAATACTCTTTTCTTTGAGGATAGTTTCTTTTTCGCTACATTTAGCGGTTGGTAGTGCTGCCAAGTTAATTCCTGTTCAGGATTCAGATTTAAGATCAATGGAGCTTTGCCGTTCTTAGTGTTCATGAGCAAAGTGGTTGGACATACATTGTTGTAAGACTTTGACAACAAAGCTTTCTCTTCCCTGAATTTTCTACATAAGTAAAACAAAAAATAGTACAATTTTTTCTTTCATTTTCTGAACAATAAGTCTGAAAACTAAATGGTAATCTGAAAGACTTTACAGTCCTGATTTTCTGGGTTCATATTCTGTGTTTTCCATGCTTCTGCGTTAAGCTACGTGTCATGTATTTGGGAGAAAATTTGTTTAACCTGATAAAAACAATTTTGAGAAAGAGTGGTTTCTTCTAAAACTATATTTCTTCAGACCTTCACTTGTGTAGGTTTCCAAATTCCAGTGCCCTTACCAGTGTCCACAAACCTTATTGCAGCTTGTAAAGCGATGAGCTGTAAAAGGATAGGATTACAATGTCAAAAGTATAAAACTTTTTGTAATCTGTTCTTGAATGTGCTGACCACTTTCAGTTATTCACAGCTGGTTTTCTGGAACAGTAAAATTTGATGAAAAACGGGGTATGGTAGAGGCATTGCTGATTTCATTATGAGCTCAGGAGAGAAGGAAGGATATAAAAAATTTATTTCCATAGCTGTCTTTGTAAAGGTGAGAAGATAGATGAAAGGAAAGGTAATAAAAAGGGAAGAACAGGCTTTGAACAAATGAAGAGTACAGAACCATATAGACTAGGGAGAAGAAATAGCAAAGAAATGGCAAATAATTAATCATGAAGGAATTAGTTTTCATGGCAAAAGAAAAAAGAAAATGTAACAATGTAAGCAAAGTCCTGAATGGGGATAAGAAAAAAAAAATAACGAGAAACATAAATAGAAGTCAAGTTTTTTACAGATTCAGTCTTGCCAAAACCAGGAAAATAGTTGGAGATATGTATACAGAGGCACTCAAATAGAGTCTTGCTTTGACTGAAGACATCAATTCTAGCCTGCTTTATATTTATATTGTTAGTGAAACGTAAATCAGGGTGGCGTCAAAAATAAACTACTTCTTTTTCATTCTCGTGTTCAATTCAAAATGTTATTGCTTATCAGTAAGGTTATCTACATCATCTGCAAGGTTGAAGGTGTGGAAAAGTATTTTGAAAACCCTGGGGCTGAATTTTGAGAAAGTATTGGTTTTCTGCGAGATTGTGTATGTCAGTTTGCACATCTTGGTCTCCCGTGTTTGATGCAGTGATTTATTTGATTTGCTGCTTGATTTGTTTTCCTTCTTTATAATGCAACTCTCAATATTAGAAAATATTGAGCTTATATGCTTCAAAGAACATGTTCAGTAAGCTGACACTGATTTTTTATTTTGGTTAGTGTATTTTGTGGTCAGCTGGTTAACTTCTGAGAGCTGTGCCTGAGTGAGTTGAAATCACAGTTTGCATGTTTCAGCTGTCAGATCAGCTGAAAGGTCGGTTTCTCGACAGAACATGGACCATACTGGTTTTCTCTTGTCTTGTGTTTGGCCTGTTTGGCGAATTTTTAGGTCTCTGTTCATACATGAGAGAGATGAAATCAGCATTGCTATTTGTACACAAAATAAAAGTGGTATCCAGGCTACATCATTGTCTTAGCACAGTGAAACACAAAAGTTTGCACTCAGAGGAAAGTACAGTATATATTGTCTAGGCAAGAATTGAAATTGTCTGCACAATGATGGCTATAAATGAGTTTTTTCATCTAATACTGCTAAAGAATTTTACTTTAGAATACTGGAAAAAAAGTCTTTTTTTCCGGGGCACCTTTGTGATTTGGCTGCTTACCTTTACAGAACTATTTTAGAAAGGTTCTATGAAAAGATTAGTCTTAGAAATGTTGATTAGAAGAGTCTTCTACTCAAGCTGCTTCTTGGAGCAGGACAATCACTAGCATCAGAACAGTTTAGTGACTTTAAATAGAAACTACCACTTCTGTAAGTAATCTCTTTCAGTGCTACACTGCTCTTCTAATGAAGAAAATTTTCCTAGTGACCAATTTGAACCTTCCAAGGGGCAGTTTTGGGCAACAGTTCCTTCTGTATCATCTGGGAAGAGCTTGATTACCTCATCTTTGTCACTCTATGTAGTTGCACACTCTCAATAGATCCCCTTTGGACTCTTCTTCACCAAAATAAACAAGCCCAGTTCCCTCAGTCTGTCCTCTGTACCTGTAGCCTTCATAGTAGCCCTGCACTGAAACCTCTCCTGTTTCTCAGTGTCCTTCTTGAACTGCAGGCCAAAAGCATTATTAAAGGTGAGAGCTCAAGAACATGAAGCAGAGGGGAGTAATGACTTCCCTGGATCTGCTGACCACATTCCTCATTATGTAGCCGGGCACAACTGTTCACATTATTCATGACAAGAGAACTTTATTAGTTTGTAAACAGCTCAACAGCCACTGTAGCTTCCATATCCTTCTCAGCAGAACTGAGAGATAGTAAATTCCTTCCCTATCTGCACTTGTGCATTGGGTTTTTCTTTCCTCAGGTGCAGAATTTTGCACTTACTGAAATTTCTAAAACAGGAACCTCAGAAAGTTTTCTCTTGCCTAGGCTTCTAGCATCTCCTGTGTTTGTGAATTGAGGTTCTACCAGTCAGCACAGCAACCAAACCTCCCAGTTTTGCATCATCTGAAAATCTACTGAGGGTACATTCTGTCTCCTTATATGGGCTGTTGGTGAAGATACTGAACAGTAGCTTCATAGCAGTCCATTGTTACTGTGCTCATTTCCAAACACCAACTAGACATCAAGACATTGACTCTGTTCTTTAAGCTTGGGGTTCTGAACAATTTTCAGCCCATGTACAGTCTTTTCATTCAGGCTATACTTCATCATACTATAAATGATGATGCTTTTGGAAACAAGTGTCAAAAGCCTAACTAAAGTAAAAATATATGGCATTCACTTCTCTCCCTTCATCTGCATGCCCAGTCATTTCATCATAGCAGGCAACCAGATTGGTCAAGCATGATTTGCTCTTGGTAAATCCTTGTTGACTTTTCTTGATTATTGTCTTGTCCTTTACATGTTGAAAATTGATTCCAAGAGGACGTGCTCCACAGTTTTTCCAAGGACTAAGGTGAGGCCAACCATTGTATAGTTCCTTAGGTACTCCTCCTCACTCTTCTTTAATATGTATGTAAAATTAACCGTTCTGCAGTCATCAAGGATGTTCTGTAATATCAGTGGTTTTTCATAGGTGATAGCCAGTGGTGTTGCAATCACGTGGTCAGATTTTTCAGCTCCCACAGGGGTGTCCCATGTGGTCCCATTGCATTTGATTGCATACTGCTTCTTCAAGTATTCACCAACTTATGCCCCTCCCCTCCTCTCCCTCAGACATTCCTCTCCTTCCCAAACTGTAAATGCAGAGGTCTGGGAGCAGAGTTGGCCTAAAAAGAGAGAGGCAAAAATTGTATTGAATGCTGCAGCCTTTTCTGTATCGTGTTGTTGTCTTGTCTTCCTTAGTAAGCAACAGACCTACATTCTCTTTGAATCTCCTTTTGCTGCTCTGCATACTTGTAAAATTCCTTCTTGTTACCCTTTAATGTCTCCCATTAATTTTAGCTCCAGCTGGGTTTTGTCCTTCCTAGTTTTGTTCATGTGCCCAAACAATGATTGTGTGCCTGTCCTTTGTTTCCTGTCATTGTTACCACACATGTGCTCTCCATTTCCACCATATGTGCTTTTCCCATTTTAGTTCATTAAAAATCTCCTTACTCAGCCAAGTGGACCTTCTGCATACCTTGTCTGTACGTGCTGCTTCCTCATGTATTTCTGTTGTTCTGTGACAAAGTCCTCCCGACTAGATTAGCAAATCTGTTCACAAAGAGATTCTTCCCTCTCTTTGCCAGGTAGACCTGTTCTTTAGGATGTCTGTCCCCGTAAAACTGGGTGCCACAAGCAAAATAGTTGAAACCCATCTAATACCACCAGATATATAACCATATGTGGTCTCCCCGATACATCTGCTGCTATCTAGGCTTCTCCCTTTTGCCATAGGATTGAAGAGAAACAACACCAGGGTTCCTATCTCCTTAACCATTAGGTGACCCCAAACAGTCTTTCGCAACACCACAAACTGAGCCTCCATGCAACCAAGAAACCTCTCTAGGTGATGGGTCAGGCTGGAAGAGAGTCAGCAGTCACTGACTGTCAGTCATCACTTTCTCTTGGTAGTGCTCTGATACAATGTCCAATCTGAATTCTTCATTTGAGGGAGCCTGTTCTTCCCCTCTGCACCACTGGTCAGCCTTTCTGCTGCCAGAAATCATAAGCTTCCAGCTCCTGCCTCTCAGAAGTGTGTGTCTTTTTCCCACTGTGTCTTGCCTCAGTTGTACCTTCCCTGTCTGTTGCATGAGGTTTTACACCTTGAAAGATCTTGTCAATCACCTGTTAGTAACCCCTGATGCAGTAAAACACACCTGCCTCTTCTTACAACTCCTCACCTGCTGCTGCGGCAAGTGCAACAGAACAAATCCCGCTTCAGGGAGTCGCCCTCAGGGTCCTCTGCACAGAGGTTGCCACAGCACTGCTGGTGACAGCAGAGGCAGGGGTTATATACCCTGTAGCAAGTCATTACCATTTGGGTGTTGTCTTCTTGTTCAAAATGTCCTGGGTCTCTGATGTGTCAAGTGCCAAATTCACTGTCTTGCTTATTTGAACGTCCCACTGCCAGCACTTCTTGGTGCCCTTCCCAAGGATGCCAGATAGTCAGGAACCCCGGATACATTCACTCGGCCTTTTGAAAGATTTCCTGCTTGGCAGTAGACCTCTTGAACTGTCTGTGAGTCCCAGGCCACAGAACTCTCCTTTGTGAATGTTAGGTCTGCTGAACACTTCTGCTCCCCAGGCTGGATCCTAGCGAGTGGGAAGAATGGTGGATGTAGTTTACTCAGCACTGGTCTCACTTGCCAAAAGAAGAGGTACTGTTGTACAATTGAAAAGGTCAGTTTCAGAATCTGCTTGGGTGGATTGAGCTGTCCAAAAGCATTTTAAGATCAATTTCCTGCAGTTCTCGTTCATGAATAAGAAAAAACGTAGTCTGGGAAACATGGAAATATTTGTTACTAGCAGTTAAATTTTCTTTTTCACTTACAGGAGATAAACTGGGCTTCAGGTATTTACTAATAATTGTAAGATTTGATTATGTTATTTTGTAGTAGAATACTCAAGTATTGTCACCTTTCCCTATCTTACAGCTGCACTTGCAGTGCCAATGGCAATTGAAAATTTATGGTAGATTATTTCCTGCAGTCAGTAACTGTAGGTACTAGAAAAAGGTCTTCCGGAGTGTCATGGTTTTGCCCACCAGCCCATCGCTGGGGCTGAGGATGGTTTTGTCCAGGTGATTTCCGGACAAAAAACCAATCAAAAAGTTCAGTGACGCCTTTGCTAATTACATCTTTAAGAAAACGGAAGAGAAGGTTGTGGCGCAGTTGAAATTAGGAGCAGCAGCCATGTAGAAGGGTAGCGGGCCCGAGGAGGGCCAAGGCCCCCTCCTCCCCGGCTTGGGCCGGGGGGGGCAGGTGCAGTACTGAAGCCTCCCTTCTCTCTTGTGAGAGAGTGAAGAAAAAAAGGTTTAAAAGACGAACTGCTTAGACGAGAAACCGCTGCAGAAGAATTCCAGCCATGAGATAACAAAATTTCCAAGGTCAAAGCTGCAGTCGCAGAAGAGAGAAGAAAAGTTCGAAGGGGGAGAGCTGCTGTTTTTCTCCCTTTCGCTCTCTCTCCCTTCAGCAGGGTAAAGACTGAAAAATAAAACCCTGCCACCTGTAGAAGTTTGTTGGGGTGAAGAGACCCCCCATGCGGTTCACAGAGGAGCTTGTGGATGCACCAGAGATTTGTGACTTTAACAGAGAAAGCCTTATGCTGGAGTAAAAGCGGCTCAGATGAGGCAGAGTCCTGTTAAAGACTTTGTGACCCTCGAAGGGATCAATGCTTATGCTGGAGCGAGACGGCTCAGATAAGCTTGGGATCTCAGTGAGAGATCCATGCTGCTGCTGTTGAAGATTTATGACCCTGACGGGTATTAGAACCTACGCTGGAACACAAAACGGTTCAGGTAGGGATGTTGGGATCCATGTGTGGGATCCGTGCTGCTGGTGCTAGAGAGAACCTACGCTGGAGCAGAAAATGGCTCAGGTGGGATATTGGGATCCGAGTAAGGGATCCAGACTGGACCCATGCCGAGAAGTCAATCAAGGACTGTTCTCCCATGGGGAGGGACCTCCATAGGGAAACAGGGGTGAACTCTTAAACCATTATCCCCTGTAACCCTGTGGAAGAAGATCCATAGTAAGCAAGTGTCCCCTTGCAAGCCTATGGAAGGAGACCCTTCAGGACCTGGGTAACCCTCAGCCTTCGGTTTTAACCCAGGAGGGGGGTAAGCCCAGCCCTGGAGGCCAACACAGAATGAGAGAGAGATAAAGAAGTTCCAACTGCGACGAAAGTACTGCAGAGTTACTGGAGAGAGAGAACTGGAATTCTGAGAACAGAAAAAGACTGCTTCTTCTCCTTGGACTGATATAAAGGGAAGTGGTGGGGGGAGAAGTATCTTTTGTAAATACATAATACCTTTTACTTAAGTAGAATTGTTGTAAATATAATTCTTTAGTTTTAGTTTGTTAATAATAAATACTCATACTTTTTTTAATTCAGTCTCTTTTTGTCTGCATAAACCTTCTCTCAACTAATAGTAATTGTATGTGGGGGTATAAAAGTAAATTGAGCCAGGGCAAAACCACGACACGGAGGAACATCTCTTGAATAGAAATGTCAATCCAAATATGCTTGTATAGGCTGTGACAGAACTGCAGGCTTTGAATGAGATCACTTTCAGCAGCTGTAAATTGACAAATAAAATCAATCCCTTTGAAGTGTAAGTGGTCAAAGAATGAGGTTGAGAGAAAAAAGGTGAGAGCATATAATATAAATAAGTAGTGAAGAAAAATGTTTAATATCTGTAGATTGTAGGTATGAGAAAAAAGTCTGTAAGGAAAAAAGTGATATTGGTAGATATTACAAAATGCTGTGGTTACAATGCTTTTTATTCATTAATCTCTTTTGGATATAGAATATACTAGTGGGAAGTTTCCTTTGCTTGGCTCTGACTTGTTTTCTGATGGAGATTAAGATCACTTGTACCTTTAAATCAAGAATGATTCATTCTCTTGGTTCTCGCTGATAAGTTTTGGATATTTTTCTACTGAAAAGTAAATCACATTCTAATGCTCAGTGATCTCCATAAAAAAAGGGTATGATAGAACTGCAAAGCTCCTAAGAAAAACAAGAGGCTAAAAAGTTACTTTGGCTTTATCTGAGTATCTTGAATTCAATTGCATACTTAAACAAACAAAAACCTAATTAATACTGTTCATGACTAAGCTCTGAGGAATTTTCCCTAAGGTGTGAACTTTCTGCAGTATGGTCTTCAAAGTCGAGACTGAATGGATTTTTAAACCAGCAGTCAAAGGTGTTCAAAGAGGAATTCTTAGCTGAGTTAGTTCCCATTGCTTAGGGCCACAGGGCATGTGGCTAGATATTAATGCTTCTCCTGGGCCTTAAAATCTTTTTTTTTTTCTTAATTCCTATTTTAAATTACACTTGATGCATATTTTTTAAACATAACTTAATAATTTAGAATACCAGCTTTATAGTATGTGAGTTAAAAATAATTTTCAACTAAATGTTATGTAAGATGATGTTTTAAAGGGCAGCTGGCTGTGCATAGGTTTTATACAGGTAGAGATGAGGTGTTATGAAAATAAGTGTGCCAAAACATATGGCAGTGATGCATCCTTGAGATGTGATACTAGGTCTCATGAAATATATGCCTTGAAGTTAAAAAAGGGGTTCAAAAGAATTGCTGTGGAAATTACTCTGGCAAAAACTAGAATTTTTCTCATTTAGTGAGTTTTTCCAGCCATTACTGTGGTACTGTGTTTGCATAAGCAAAAACAGGTTGCTGGTTTGTAAAAGAATTCTGAATCATTAACCTTTCTGAGGTCAATGTAGACTGTTCTATTTAACTCTTAGAAGGAAAAAGAGTAGTATTAGTAAACACTGAAATATTAAAAACCCTATTTCCATGAAATGACAAAATTCCCGAGAACAAAGGAATAGAAAAATTCAAAAGATGTCTAAGTATGTCAGGGGTTAACTTACTGATCTCATTCTGCATTATAGAAAGTTGGGGGTGTTATATGCTAATAATCTCTTAATTGTAGGAGGAAGAATTGGAGGCCCAGATTTCATTCCTACAAGGACAGCTAAACGATTTGGAAGCCATGTGCAAATATTGTGCAAAAATGATGAACACACATCTTGGTAAGTGCAGTACCCTGTATTAACCTGTAAATCTTTGCAAAGGCTCTTTTCATGTTTGTATTAGAACTAAAATAATATTTAGGTAGTAAAGTGCATATTATTTTATAAGCCATCATGAAGATTGAATTGATGTACTGAGTTGTTTTATCAGATGCTACCAACCACTGCATCTTTATTCTGCTTTTAATCTTGGGAGTATTATAGCCACTGATGATGCTGAAAGAGGTAGAGGCATTTTAGTACAGATGCCCTTTGATTTCTTGTATTGTAAGAGACCTATTGGAGCTCACAGCATCTACGCTTACAGATTTGAAGTCCATTTGCATTTCAGCATTCCCACAGTGACACTTGATGTGTGCAGTGATAGCTGTATAAAATCCATATACTTTCATTAAATGTAACAGCTTCACAATCTACAATCACCTTTGATATGTAAAACTGTGTTACTGTAGGCTACCTAGTTTGGAATATTTTGGTCAGACCAGGAGAAATATTGTAAGATAAACATCAATACACTGGGAACAGAATGAGCAAATACGCCAGTCTAAAATTCTTCTTATATATTTCCAAGACAAGTCAGGGAAAGTAAACAAAATCTTTCACTCAGTTCAAGTGTAAACATATTTAACTAGGCTTTTATAAAAGTGGCATTTTTAAACTGTGTTGAACTAAACTCCAAAAGTTAGTATATTTAGTTATGTGAAAAAGTACCATTTTTAAGACATCAGGGCACAACTGTAATAATTTTAAGATTTATTTATGGCCTGCAACATCTAAGCAAAATAAAGTAAGGTTCAATATTTTTGTGGGTAGAACTAAGTATATGATATCTAAGTTTACCAGGTCAGAATGTTCAGATGTGAAAACCATTATATTTGTATTTTATTTTATGTGGGTGTTTTACTAGATACTATTATAAGCCTAGGAAAAGCTAAAAATATTGTGTTATTTGAAAGTTGTGAATCACAGCCTTGAAAAGCAAAGTCAACCCTTAACCCCAAGAGCTTTAGTATGATATATTGCCTCTGTAAAGGTACATGAGCAATGATGAGATTAGAAGCAAGCAAAGGGATAAATTATTAGCTACTGAAGTGATGGGGAAAAGATTGCTTTGTCAAGAAGAAAAGCTGAAGTTTCTTTCCTTTAGGAAAAAAGACGAGAAGTGTTTAGCAATGGTATCAATTCTAGTACAAGCATAAGCATTTCACCAGCTATGGCTGCTCCAGAGATCAGAATAAACCCAGGCAAAGATACTTGAAGCAATCTGCCTTTTGGCACTGGATTCATGAACTGAAAGCAAAAGATTTGTCATCATATGCAGGTGTTAAATTCTTTTTCTCAAATATATTGGAAACAAAAACATTTAGGGGCAGTAATCTCCCAGGAGCATTGTGAAACAGTTTGTTACCCTCACAGGACAGGGAGAGCCATCCCTTATACAGCTTTGGCTGCAAGGTGTGCTGGGTGCATTGTGACACCCCTGCAGTGTTCCCAGAGCCTTCCAACCTAGTTTCTTTTCAGTCCTACTCCCTATACTTTTTCACAATATTCCTGCATGTCTTGTCAACATCATGGGCTATTAACTTTGCAAATTTGTGTTATACTAATGTGTTTAAATCCTATAGAGATTAACAGTTACGCACAAGAGACAGAGATGTCACCAACCTTCACAGCTTCTGCACTTGTAGCAAACTGGTGAGGTTAGGTATCCCCAAATCAGCCAGCAGATGATCCACGTGAAGGCATGAAAAAAAACCTGTGAAGATTCTTGCCGACATGCAAAATCCCTTCTGACCTGAAATCTGTCCATCTGAGCAGCACGTGCCAGCAGGTTGTGCAAGAAAATGGATCCTCTATAGCATCACAGAACACCCTCTGAGGATTATCTGTGTTCATCCATTGCTGAGGGCTGCAGAGAAGGGCAGCAAAATAAAATTCAGAGCATATCTGGTCATTTCTGGATTAAGGGAGAAGTTAGCAGGGGCTGCTACTGTACCTGATCTGATCCTCCCCCAGGTATCTCTTACCCATGAAAATTGCTTTGTTTCAGAAACTGCAGAGCAGATGAGTTATATCACTGCTCCTGTAAACTGTCAGAACACTTAGCTTCAAGGATATTACTTCTTCCTATAGGGCTGCATTTTTCTAACTTCATCACCCAGCTTTTGCATCTTGTAGCATTTTCGTTAGCAAAGTTGAAAATCTTCATTTAATTTACTTATACGCTGTGATTAATCTCTCAACAGTGTCTTTGCTAAGCAGAACACTTCAAGTTTCATTTTCTATGGGTTTCTTTTTAGACCTGGTCATTTTTACGGTCTTCCTTTGAATTCTTCAGGGTTTTCATACACCTTTTGAAGTGGGTTAATCATATCGGGATGTGCTGTACCGGCACTGGCTCAGCACAGTGATTACTTAGCACAGGGAAGGTCATCTCTCTGCTCCAATGTGACATTCCTCATTTTAAACATTTTTACTGCATCATCATGTTAGTGCTCTTTGATACCGTGTCAGGTTGAGGTGATAATACGTTATGACCTTTAAAATTTGGTGAATCACTGCTTTCTAAACAGAGGCGTTTATCCTGTGGGTAAAATTAGGAAATGTTTATTTCCATATGTGTTCCTTGCATTTGATGATACTAAAATTCACTTCTTGTCATTTGGCTTTTTAGCTGACTAATTCACGTAACTGCAATGTGTTCTATTTTCTTCTACCATTCTAACTGGAGATGTAATCATCATACATTTAATAGTTGTCTAAATTGTTGATTAAAACATACTACTATATAAAACTTGAGGAGCCCTACAGAACTAAGTCCTTCAACAAAGTGTTAGACAACATTTTTAAGAATTATCAATAAGTCAGTCAAGGAGTCAGACCTGCCTTTTAAATTTGATAAAACTTAAAAACCCTCTGGGTTTTTTAGATTGATATTGTAAACCTTTTTTTCCAGACTTTATTAATCAACCAGTATTCTTTTTCTTATGTTGATGATTATATTTGCAGGTGACTTTTAAACAAAACAGTATTAATTGATGCTTATAAAAATGCATATCCAGTGACTATTTGCCATAAAATTATCACAGTGTCAAACAATTACTGAATGTTCTTTTTGTGGTTTACAGTGAGACAGTTTAGGATTTTTTGGCTCTCTTCTCGACTTCTTTCCCTTACAAGGGGGATCTGATGAAAGTCAGGTGCAGTTACGTCATGACAGAGGTGATGTGTTGTGGCTGAGAAATTAGCAAAACAACCACCTCATCTATTCTGTTTTGAATCCCTAGTAATTTATAATCTTTTTATATCAAATCCAATTTTACAAAGTATATTTTTATATAATGCCTTTTTAGAAAATAACGTTTAATTAAAAATTTCTCCTTTTGGCCCTACAATGATTCTGTGTTTCTTTACCAAGAGCATTTTATTTCTATAGGTTTCAACAGATATCTGCTAACTTACATTATGAGGGATAGAATGGCAATTTTATTTTGTTCATATATTCAAAAATGCTTTCATTAAATGTTTATCTCCTTCCTTAAAAAAAAACAAATAATGTACCACATGGCAACAACAAAACTGCTTGTAATATCAGGGGATGTTACCATGGGAATGAATGATGGTTTTGACATATTGCCACTTAGGGCTATGTGTATAAATTAGAAATAGGTGTTTGATTATAGAAACAGAGGAAAGCCAATCTGTGATCTTTGTCTCCTTCTTATAGCTGTGCATTAGAACTTTACTTTTCTTCTGTAACTTAACCACTGGAGTACTGCTAGGGGGGAATTCCTTTTAATATCTCCAAGGGACAAATGTTGAAATTATGGTACATAAAATGGCCAGACAGGGAAGCAGATTTTCCTGCTGTTCTCGACCTTTTTCACAAGCTTGTCATAGCTTTTAAACAAAAAAAGAAATAATCCTGTGTTCAATGTTTCCATGATTGCAATGAAGATACATCCAAACTTGTAAACCTATCCTGTTTGTTCACAATATAAATGCAGATTACTCAACTGACAGTGAAAAAGTATACTTGCCACTACTGAAACATCATCACAGATACATTTTCTTGATGTTACTTTCTCACAAACACTGGCCTTTTTCAGGAAATAATATTGTCACTGGTGATTTCAGTAATATGGTAATGTTCTAGCTAGCAAGTGCGTAGAGAAAAAGATTTTTCCTGGTGACTGGTAAATGTGACACCTGTCTGATATCTTAGAGCAGATGACAAGAAATTTGTCTAAGAGACATGAACACAAACAACACGCAGAGTACATCATAGTATCTGCTGGAAGATTCCTCTCTTGTCCTTCATTACTTCCCAGGCTCAAGCCAACACAGCGCTGTTAAATGGCATTTCAGGTGACACCAGTTAATTACACTCTCTGTTGTTCTAATATCTTTAGGGTTTGGACTATGTAAACACTGGCCCACAACTAGGGCAGCCTCTTAACAAAAAGTAGATTAAAACCCTGAAGACATATCAGTACTCCTTAGGCAAGTACCAGTATGAGAGATTGTGAAGGTTCTTTATGAACTTGCCAGTTTTGTTCCAGAGAGAAAAGTGCTGACACTTAAAAAGTTGTCTCTTTATAAGGGACAGGAATCAATCCATCACTTTCTCTGAGACAGAAGAACCTACCATTTCTTTCCAACAGAGACATAGTCTGAGATCTCCAAGTGTGTGAAAGTTTACCAAATAATTACATGTGTAGCACAGGAAGTCCTTTTCATGAGAGGCAATTTAAAGGAACATTGGTTCAGTATTAACTTGGATATGGAGGTCTTTGTTTAGAACCTAATTTTTTTGATGGGCAATTTATCAGGTTATAAAAGTGGAGAAACTAAGGTCATTCCACACTTGCTTTTGCTTGAGGGCAGCACTATGTAAATGCAGAAGGTTGCTTCCCCAGCTAGCTGAGATTCAGAAGCAATTTAGCTGCTTTCTCACAGCATAGAGCCTCAGCTAATAAGCTGTGGGCTTGTTAGCTCAT